TCATGCTACAGAAACCGGGATAAGCTCCGGCCTGATGGGCCACTTGGCTCGCATGCAGACTTTACCTTAACCTGATAACCATACAGCTCTTTACATGATAACTCCAAACAGTTCTGTCAGTGCCACTTTGAAAATAAGGTGTAACATTGAGGCAGTAGGTGTTGTTCTTTGCTCACACTGTACCAGAAAATCTCTTACTAGCACACATTCTGGTACCCAGGCCAGTAATGTATGCAATGTGTGGGTGCATGTTTATTGTGCTTAGTTTAAATTGCATAAAATATTTCTCCTTCTAGAGGTATTTAATTTGCAAAATAGCTCTTGCACACCTTGTATTCCTATGTTAACAGGTGTACGTAAGTCTCTGTTGATGAAACATGTCTTCTTTTTCAGTTGTGGAAGTTGTCCCCCAGCCCTTATCAGCTGCTGACTCAGCATCTAGATGCCTGTGAGTGGAGGCTTGCTGTGTGCCATCCTTCTGTACAATACACCATTCTTCATGCCCTCTACACTTACTGTCAGAGGTAAGCTGTCTTAAGATTCTGGGAATAGAAATCTGAACCAGTTAAGCTCCAGTTAGTATGGATTAGATTATGCCATAAAAGATGTCTTACTTTGAACAAATACTGCAGGGGCTTTTTGTTACAATTTATAAAAGTCTTCAATTGACAATTTTTTTGGTGCATAATGATTTTTGTTGTGCCGGGATACAACGTGGTAAACAGCGTGAATTTTTCTTTTCAGGTATAACCATTTCCTTCCTAATTCTCCATCAGAAGGCTTGCGCACATCGCAGGATGGTGATGTGGTTTCAATGTTCAGTTTACTTTCCAAAGTATTGGGAAATTCCAGCACATCACAAGACTCTAGGTTTGATATTTATAATACTATACTATTTCTGGTATAATAATTTTTCCAATTTTCGTAAGAAGCACCTCGTTTATTCAATTAAAGGCTGCATGCTCTTCAGATTTTTACGGTTACAGTTGTGGCTCTTATTCGGGGGTGACACTCATTAAAAAATCATAACCTCTGTAAACAACAGCAAGCAAATGTTAATAACAAAATATGGCCTTTTTGAACTGAAAAACATCGTACATGTAAACCAGGAGATTAAATTTCCAAACATCCTTAACACTTTTATGTGGGAGTCCCCTTTTCTCCACTTCTGGGGTGCTTGTGCTTGTGCAAAGTTAAAAAATGAAACAGCAAACCATGAAGTTTGCATGCCAAACATAGGCACTCAAATGTCTTTAGTATGGTAGTACTTAATTTCTTTGAGAATAATGCGGTCCTCTGTATATCTAAGGATTGCTTAGGGTTGAAAAAAGTACTGTCTGATCGTCCAGGACAAGTAGATTCTCCTCGGGCAAGTACCTTTTTGTTTTCACTTGCTCAATGGGCAAAGGATCATGCAAGTCGTCTGCCAACTAAATCATTAAAAGAGCAAACTAACACTTGCCCAGGGCAAGCAATATTTGAGAGATACTGGTCCTGAGGGAAAGCTGGAATTTAAGTTTTTTTCGAGCCCTGATTGCTGTCAATAAAAGACTTTGTTGTAAGTTGGTTTTTTCTCTGTCATGTAGAAAGCTGTGTCTAGTGTGGCTGGTGGAAGTCTTGGACAAAGCTATCAACATTGGTGTTCTTGTAGCCATCAGTAAACATGTGAGCTTGGATTCCTTAGCAGAAAGCATTTTGCCATCCTGTAAGTGCAGTTATCAATCATTTAAACAATTCATTTCCCAGTTAAAATTGTTCTACTTGAATAGTAGTTGAAAGGATGAGCTTCTTTTTGCACTGACTCAATGCTTTAAATATGTAGAGAAACAGTGCATGTCATGAGCTGTTTGCAAAACATGTTGTAAGCAAATTGGGATCAAGATTTTATTTAAGTGCATTTTAATATGTAGGTAAAGCCTGCATTTGAGTGCAGTGGAGTATTTCTATCAACCGACTGGATGGGAAGCCAAATATTCCATGGCAAGGTTTTTCCCCAGCATTTAATTCAGCAAATATACACATTTTTAAACCTGGGTGGTGGCAGGAGACTGAGAGTAAGATTGCAAGAATGCAAGAATGCAACACAACTACCCCACACAGGGATCCAACCCAAACTCAATATGCCACCATGCCTCTCACTTTTTAGAGCATTTAGTAAAGATGAACGGACTCTTAGCAATTGAATGGCTTGGTGCACGACTGACGTAAGTGACTTTTTCGGGTGAAAAATGATTTTTTTGTTCAAAAGCGCCCGAAGTTTTGCGTGTCGTCTTCAATTGAGTAGAGGAGCATAGCCCCGTATATTTTTTTAGCTGGTTTGCGCTTTGTCTTTGGAAAAAAAGAAAGAAACATTAGGACAACGGTGACTTCAAAACAATAATACACGGCCGCAAAACCAAATGGATGAACATGGGCCTTAGAGAAAGATGNGCCAAAATAATGCAAACGCAAGCTTACGTCACAACGTAGTTGAAGAAATTCATTTCCAGATCCCCTCTTTGAATGAGTAAACTTTCCACTTTGTTTTGTACATCAGGCAAAAAAAAACAAGGAATACAAACACAGGGCAATGTTTTCCTATTACGTTGGAGACCACATGCAAAAATTTGGGCGCTTTTGAACAAAAATATCATTTTTCACCCGAAAAAGTCACTTACGTCAGTCTTGCACTAAGCCATTCAATTATCAGAATATGAGTTGTTTTACACTTAGTCAGACAAAGCTTCAACAAGCAATTAATATTTTGTGGTTATAAAGTATTAGAAAGTTGGTGTCATTCTGATCTCAAGAAGGTTTTTTGATCTTTGTCAATCTCTCTCAACAGCATTTGACCATAATCCCACCATATCATTGGAAGTTTCTCTTTGTCTGAATATTTTAGTTGATTTGAAAGTCCTATCAACCAAGTGCCTGAGAAAGTAAGTCCTTCCACTGTTTGTTTTTGAACACAGTTTGCAGTCTTGTTAATTAACATGTGCATTGTCAAGCAAGAGAAAATGGTTAAGGTGCCACTTAGTAAGAGATTGTTCCCTGTGTAATGTCAGATTCCTTGAGGATTGTGCTGTCCGTCTGATGGATGTGAATAGAGAAGTCTGCAAGAACTACCAACAGCTCATCAATGCTTTACCAACAGATATTTTAACAAGGTTAGTAACATTCTTAGTGGTAAAGGCAGCCTGTGGTAGTTGCGATAGCATTATTACTTTATAGCATCATTTTTGCCGCACCTATAATTAAAGGCGCCAAAATATGAGATACAAAAACCCTCAACTTGTCACACAGCATGAGCAAATTTGTTGCTCAAATTAGACTGAGGCTTTACTTTTCACAACAACTTTCTTCAACCCGCAACAAATGTTTTTGTTGCACGACAAGTTGATCATGTGAGGTGAAAAATGCAAAACATCGACCCAAAACTTGCAATGAAACAATTTTGCTCAACAAGTTGAGGGTTTTTGTATCTCGCATTTCACCGCCTTAAGATTTGTTAATGTTTTGGTGCTTGTGAATCACAGTTCCATAAGCCAGAGCCTGTTTGAATCAAGAACTGGTCAAGCCAGAGGCAGTGTAGATGTTGGCAAACCCTTGGTCACCAGTTGCAGTGATGTGTGGTTGGCTCGTAAAGGTCACACAGTCAAGCCACCATCTGGCTCTTTCCATTCTCATGATTTTCAAATCGTGATGGGATTTATTCTGTCAGGTGTATTACCTAGGTGAGTATCACTAGATGTGCATCCCTTTTCCTTTGATAATACCACTGTTACTTGATTCTCCCTGTTTTTATCCAAGCTACCAGACTCAGACATTGAACTATTAATTTTTTTCAAATTTGAGCTTTCAAAGGTGAACTAATCCCCTTAGCAATTCATGAAGCTGAGGTTTCAAGGATAAGCCCCAAAGTCACAAAGATCTGGCAAAGGGCTAATGCCTGAAACATCAGTTTCACAAACTCTCTATGGCATTTAATCTACCTTTATTAGGCTTCTAGTTGGTTCCCAACTTAGAGTTACTTGTTCCCTGAAGCAGCACTTTAGTTTCTTTACTAACTAATAACTTTGACAAACTCTGAGCACTTTTTAGCCTTGGTGCTATCACGGTATTGAATCTCATTTGTTGTCATAAATATGAATTTATGCTTGATTTAATCTGAGTATGATACCAAGATGTTTGCGATTGAATCGGTGTCTTCTTACAGCAAAGAGCCAAATGTCGACTGGTTGTTGAGGCTATTCCACAGCTGCAACAGAGTTCAGAAGTATGCAGAAACAGAGATGGTTCAGGTATGTCTTACACAAAGAAAGATTCACACGGGGAATGAAACAATTTACTGGTACATTTGTTTTACAATTTTCTTGCATGTTCTGTTTTCAACCTTTTCTATTGGTAGACATTAGTTCTGATGATGGTTTGTCCTCCAGTTTAACAGGTGTGAATCACTGCTTTGGTTTTGGGCCACGTGGGAAGCTGCTCAGTTCTGCATTTTATCGCGTCTGCGTACTCCACTTGGTAGAGCTCAGGAAACTTTTCAGGCAATAGAAGGTAAAAATTGCTGTCTTCATACAATATACATTGCTATTTAATAATTGAAAGGCAATTGATCATTGTTTTGGGGGTCTGCTATTGGTTTGTTTAGCAATATTCTCCTGAATTCCTTTTTTAGCGTTAATGCTCAGTTCTGGCCATCATGTATGTCATTCTCTTCAGTTCAGGGCAACCTGATTTTGTTAACCTACATCCTCCTTTTCCAGGTGTTCCTTAACCTGCCACCCCCCCTCTCTCTCACTGAGACAAACATTTCTTGACTCTGTTTTATGACAGTGAATTCAAGTCTTAAAATGTAGGTCTTGTTGTAGGTCTTGTTATATGTGATCCTTAGGAATGAGGTTGATATGTAACTTGTCATACTTGGTATTCCTGAGTAAAGTGAAAGAGACAAACCAGAAACAATCTCAGTTTCAAAGTTGGTTTTCTTTTCAGGTGCTTTGCAGAAGTTTGTGATGGATGCAAATGGTGAGGAAGAAAAAAGCAAACCTAAGCATGAAGAGCCAGGAGCCAAGGAGGATGAGGGAAATGAAACAGGTATAATAAATTTAAAATTCATTTTTCATCTTATGTATAAATTTTTCTTTCATATTTTTTCTGCAATTAGTCTCATATCTTTAGAGGACTTGCTTCCTTACGCAGCACTGTCAGTTCGGGCTGTAACCCCCAAACACCTTCTATGGCTGAGCATGTTTGATGGACCCTTGATTTACTAGTGAACGTGCCTATAGTTGATACAATTCACTCAAAAGTGCAATCACATTGTCCTGGACAAGTAGGTTTTTCTTCTTGGCAAGTAACTTTTTATCCTCACTTGCCCAGTGGACAAGGGATAAGGTAAGTCGTCTGTGGAATAAATCATTAAAAGAGCAAACTAGGACTTGCCCAGGGCAAGCAAAATTTGAGAGCTACTTGTCCCAAGGGCAAGCTAGACTTCAAGTTTTTTTGAGCCCTTAAGTTTGTTATTGATGCATGTGTCAAAATCAAGGCTACCGGTGGATCAAAACTATAAAACAGCTCTGTTATACCAAATGCACTGCAGACAACCTTACATGTAGCTTGTAAACCATAGCATTATCTTGGGGGAAAACTACATTATTTTGTCTTTGTTAATTTAGTAGCTGCTGAATCCAAACCTTATGTCAACCACCTCCAGTCTGTATTGCTGCTACAGTTCATAGAGAACCTTGAAAAGCTTATGTACAATGGCTATGAAGGATGTGTAGTGGGTCTACCCTCGCCACCCAAGGTACAGTTGAAGGGCTATCCCTTCACTATTTTAGATGTTTTTAAAGGAGCTACATCACGGTTTATAGCCTTAATTTTTCAAGGTCGTCATTGTAATCCATGTTAATCATTTCCACCCTTAACCATCCTTGTTCCTTTAGGGTTTATGAATACATCTTTGATGTTTTTCTATCTTAGTATATTACTACATGTACTTTAAGGTTTACTTCAAATGAAGGGTAATTTTGTATAGTCATGGACAAAATAACTCAAAATACCATGACTGAATCCTTTAAATTTACAATAATTTTTCTTACAGTTACATAAATAATTGTTTGGTGCATTGTTATTGTTTATGAAATTATCATCATAAGGATCTTTTTCACAAAATTGAATTTTGTATGGGTGGATTTTATCTTACATCTGTGATAGAGATTTTTGAAATTGCTAATCCTGAAATATTTTTGAAGGTTGCTGAAATAGCATTTAATATTATTTCTTCAACATAATACATCAATGTATCAATGAAATCCTATTGAAGAGAAGATACCCTGTACAATTTCAATAAGGGTTCAGTTGCAAGGTTTGAGGTCTCGTGATATTAATCAAGTCTGTATAAACATTTCAGTCTGTACGGGTATTTTTCCGCACAAATCGAAGCACATGTATTGAGTGGCTTACTAGAGTGCGTAAACCAGTGATGAGTGTGGGTTTGGTGTGTGGCTGTCCTGCAGCAACTGTCTGGCATGGATTTCAAATGTTGCAGGAAATGAAGACTGCAGGAAATACTCAGGTATATAGTGTTATTTTGTCTTATATATGTAAGTAATAGTAACTGGACCAAGCGGAGTATAATTCAGGGAGTAATCACACAAGTAATTTCAAAATCAGATGAGCGCAAAGCACAAGCCCGATTTGAAAATACAAGCATGATTACTCCCTGAATTCTACGACATGAGGTTCAGTTACTAATTAATCGTCTCTATAACAAATTTCGGAATTAAAAATGTCATCTGGGAAGTTCTTTTGAGCAAAAACGTCTGTAGCGCTTTTCATAAGTTTTGAAAATTATAGGAAACATTGTGAAGGAAGCCATTAAAGCACACATAATTCATGTGTGAATCATTTTGGTATCCAATTACAAAAAGTTCAAATTGGATACCTGTAATTTGACACCCATGCGATTGCGTGCCGATTGCGTGACAAATAGGCGTGCAGAGATCCAATCATGATCAAGAATTTTGTTACAGATATGATTATAATGGTAATGGGACTGAGTGGAGTCCAATTCAGTCTATATTCATACAAGCAATTAATAAAATCAGACAATCGCAAAGTGTGACTCAGGTTTGTTTGATCACAAGTAAATGCCTCAGATACTTGTAGTCATGTAGGTGGCAATAGACATTAACAAACTTGTCTACTGGGCCAGGTTTCTCAAATAGGGGATAGCACCACCCACCAGGGTCTGGTTGTTCAAAGTAGCCTTTTAGCCAGATATGTATCTACATAATGCACATGATGCCTCACTTTTGAAAGAAAGTTGTTTTATTTTTCACATGTTGCTTTATAAATTGTTTGTTTGAGCAGACCCTATAGTACATTTTGGATGCCCACTTTTCCAATCCTGGATAACGCTTTCTGCTAACTAATTCACTATCCAGTGAATAATTCCTGATAAAACACAAACTGTGCTATTCATTGGGTACTGATTTATTGGTAGATGATATTATCTACCTTTCAAGACTAAAAGTGTTAAACAGTTCTTGTAATAAACGAGTGTTTGAATTTGTTTGATGTTGTTGCTGTTTTTCTAACACAGGGCCACCAACCCCAATTCATTAATAAGCATTAGATCATGTCATATTTACGACAAAAAGGCCTGCATTTCTTGAACTAGTGTTTTGCAAAAATATCTGCACTAAAGATGGTCAATACAATGTCATTTCATTTCAGGGTGAAGAGTTTGACAGTGCTGTATTACTGACAGCTCAAGCCTTGTGTGAACTGAGAAGTGCTCATGCTATCACTGGTTTAGTGGCCTGGTGTGAACAGGTCTCTGGTCAAAAGTTCTCTTGGATGAATGGAACAATAATGAAAGCCAAGGGCTGGTAAGTTTAGGCTTGAGAAGTGTTAGGTTGGGAAAACCAAGGGCATCCCCAATTCGTGCACAAATTTAAGAGCCCTTTTTCGTGCCATTTTCATGCAAGGCGAGATTTTCATATGAGAGGAGGTTGGTTAATGAATGGCTCATTCTGTCTATTCAGCTTGATAAATCACCCACATATTTGGTAACGTAGCAATTTCATGTGTGTTATGTAAATGATAAACGTAGTGTCTTAACCTCTAATTTTATGGTGGCTCCAAAACCATCAAGAGATTGTTTAACTTTGCAAAAATTTGTCTCAACATGCTGGTAGCAACTTGGTAAAAAAAAAAAAAAGGATTCAGCAAGCTTGTTTTTGATTTTTGGAGAACTTAAAGCTAAAATTTAAGGGTGTTAAATGGTTTATCCTGTTGCTATTGAAATCCAGAACATCATTAAATGCCTACAAATTGTTCACCAATGATATCCACTTAAAAACAGTGGTAGTATTGATCCATCAAATCGTATGTACTGGAAACTGGTGTCAGACTACCTTAATTAAAGAAAATTCAATTTCTTTTAAGGTATGAGTCCTCAGCAACAGAAAACAAGTCAACTGTGGAAGAGATGTTGACCAAAGAGAAAAGCCACCAAGAGGAAAGAAAGACAGGTGATACACCTCCACCGTGTACTGCTGTGACAACATTCCCTGTCAATGAGGTACAGTTTAAACAGCACTAGGTACTTGTGTGTGAGAGTGATTTAAAATCGGCAACTGTTTATGCATTTCTAAATTTTAAGGAAAGAAAATGTCCTCTTCTATTCATTCCTGAGCCAATTGGCCTCTCAGAGTTTTAGGGCAATTTGGCATGATGTGGATATATCACACAAGGTCATTTTGTTGTGTCCAATCTTCTTCCTGCTTTTCTTTGACTGCATCAAAAAGATGTTGGAAAGCTGTTGATTAATTAATACAAATGTTTGTGTGGGTGGTAGTGATTTGTGTAACTGCTAAAGAAATCACTTTTCGAGGGATCATTATACGGTGATAAACATCAAAAAGAAAATATGATTATTAGCCTAGTGTATAATTAACAGTTATTTCATGAGTGCATGTTGGATATGAGATGACAGCCAACTAGGCATGTAACACTGAGTTGGCTATAATATTGTCTCATATCCAACAAGCATGTGTGAAATAATTGTTTTATTAAAAAACGCCCCCGAAATATAGGAAACTAAAAGTAAAATATAGACAAAAACGCTCCCTAAAAATGTTCGTGTGCTTACCATATTTGTAGAGCATGGCATAATTGCACATATACTATGATGGCTAAGCCAATAAAAACTCTTGTTTATTAATAATAAAGGTTTTAAATATCAAGCTTTTGTTTTAGCAAAGAAAAATGATAAATTCGCAGTTAGAAGCACAGAGGATAACAGGTTTATATCTATTCATGAAAACTCTTATCATCAGATGTTTGACATTGATTTCTCTCTCACAGGTTGCAGACTGTTACATGAAGTTATCATCTTGGAATGAGGTAGCAGACTGGCAGAAGCATGTGAATAACCTGAGAAAACAATGCTCAGACTCAGAAGTACAGCATTCACTAATGGCAAACGTTGACATGAATTACGTCAAGTAAGCCTTGCTTCGTAACATTTTCTTTACTTTTTGTGTGCTCCTTTGTTTGATTATGAGCTCAAGATTTCTGTGAGGCAATAGTTGCTGAGGCTGAGGGCTGAATCGATATTGTCACCTCACAGAAATTGAGAGTGAATATAATCTAATAATTAGATTTTGGTAAGCAAGAAAATGTTGCTATTTTGTAAACAACCTCTGGGCAATGTATATGTATGGGCTGGCTATTTGAATAGCAGTAGTATTTTTAATTACTAAATCCCAGTAGAGAGAATAAGGACACAATTACAACTGACTGAAAATAACCATTTGATAAGATCTAAATGCTAGTTTCATTTATGAGATGCAACCTTATTTCTCAGAGCTTTGAGCAAATTTGAGGAATGTGACTTCATATCAGTGCGGAACCACCTTCGACTGATCCCTGGAGCAGCACTGAACTCACTGACTGAGAATCTGACCAAGTCTGCTTGGTCCGTGAAGCTGAATCATCCGGACACAACATTTACTCCAGTCTGGGCCCCTTACAATATTGAGCAGACAGCTGAACTATCCTTGATTCAGGCTCAGACGCTGTTCTTTACATCAGGAAATTTGAAAGCTAAGACAAAAGATAACAACACAAAGGATCAGAAGATCATGTGAGTGGTTAAAGTAATACATCAAACGTGAGAGACCGTGTTTGACGGAGGCAGCATGGCTGACTGGTTAGGGCACTGGGCTAGAAATCTGGAGGTCGTGGGTTCAAGTCCTGCTCTGGCCTCTTAGCTGGAGTTTGTTTTTCTCACTAGACCCTAGTTCTACTCCATGGTCATGTTTATAAATTGCCAATTGGTCTGCCTCCCACCAGCTTGGATTTTTAAGCCTATTATGCTTAGTTGATACATTTTTTTTTTTCAGCCTAAGTGACATGCCTGTGAAATAGCTAGGTGTAACTAAGTTCATTGACCACAGTAAAAAACATTTGATTTGACATTTGACCACACTTCTAAACACCAAGAAGAAAATTGAAAATAGGACTCATACCAAAGTATTTTTGGCAAACTTAGAGGTTTTTGGAAATGAGGTCAAACACTGACTTGAGTGTTTAATATATCTTCTCAGTGAAACCTAAAACTAAAAAGAAAACAGAAAAATGAAATCATAAAGAATCTATGCTATCTGAGATCGGATATCCAAACACTGTCACGATCACAATTTCCTTTGTTAAACTTCATGAATGAGTTTGAGAACAACAACAAATCCAGGGTTTTAAGACTTGTCTGAAGCCATTCCAGTCATACATACCTTAGCTCACAAGTCATTTGTTCATCAGTTGCAGTATTGTGACCACATGTTTGACTCTGAACATTTTAAAATCCTTTTTCAATCAATCCCAAAACGTGCTAGGCTCTAAGAAATGCTTGATTCTGCAGAATTGCTAAGCAGCATATTTTATTCCTCATTGACCATGATGTTGTGAGTATTTTTAAATACTTGGCAGTGCTTTTGTTGCTTTGATTTGAAAATTCTAGATTTAAGAAAGGTTTACCATATACAATACTCGTTCCTCCAACTGGACCATGCACAGTTTCAATTCCAAGTCTTGCATTTTGACATTTCCTTACTTTATTTTCTTTACAGTCAAGCCATCAAGGAATGCATCCATCATGCCACATCCCTTTCTGAAGGAGTGCTTAGAGTGGGAACACTGGGTTGGCCATTAGAAGTTTCTGCTTCTCACATGACTCAGCTGCAATTTGCTACTACTGTAGAGAATATCATGGAGACAGAACTTCACCAGGTATAACTGTAGTAATGTAGCTGGTATTTTTTGTCAGAGCTTACCACCTGAAATTTATGTCAAGAGTAAAATGTTATCTGGCCCAATTCTCCCCTTCCCCGCCCCCCTCCCCGGGCAAGGAACTGAAGAAGAAAATGTTGTCTTCGAGAAAAGATAACAATGAGGCCTGGATGCCTCAAAGTACAATAGCTCCTAACCCATTACTGAATTATTTTTTTCTTATTAGGAGGATGTATCTCCATCATTTCTCCAAGGAGATGGAACTTTCACTATAAACCACACTCACCATGACTGTGCTGTCCTGATCAAGGCATTACGGTTTTGTTCAAACCTTCATTATGTCGCCTCCTCAGTGGGAAAACATCAGGATCTTGTGAAGAGTGAACTGGTGTCATTACAGCTGGCAACAGCTAAACTTGCAAGAAAGCATCACAACTTTAGTCTTGCACAGAAGCTTTTAGTGAAACAAGTTTCTTTGCTTGGAAATCCAGTGAAGATTCCACAAGATTCAAACTGCAGTAAGAAACAATTTCTTGAACCATTAATGGAAAGCTTGAATGATGCATCTTTAGCCACAGCAAAACCAGTTGATGTGATGGAAATACAGAGAGAATGTTCAAAGTTAGCTTTGGCGTTAGGGCACAGTTCAGAAGCAGTATATTATCTCTCTGACAGCATTAGTCAGTATTCAAACTTGGGTGATATTGACTCGAACGTTGGTGCTGTAAATTCGAGATCACTGCTCACTCTTGCCAAATGGCTACTTAACGACCGAAAGCTGTTGACTGCAGTCACTAAAATAAACGGAAATGGTCTTGCTGTAGCAGCGAAAATCAGTTCACTGTGTGAGTTGGAGGCAAATTACGTGAGTCTTGGCCATAGCAACCTTATCCCAGCGCAGGATGAATCACCAGAGAACTATTTAAATTCTACTTCTGTTCCAAGTGTGGCCTGTGGTGTGACTGATGCCGAGTCTGTCTGTGGCCAGCTTCTGCACTTGGCTACCATGCAAGCCCCAGATTTGGGCAAGGTCTGGTTCAATTTGGCTGGATGGTGCTATCGATGGGGAAGAAAGACGGTTGAACAGGCTAGGTGTGTATTGAATCGTATCGTTGTTGAACAGTGATTTATTGTGTATAGAAATGATAGTAATGAGAAAAGTATTGGTCAGTCCTCAGAAAACGTAGAATTCTTAGGTCTCCCAAACGGCGTAAAATCCCCCAACGCTTTACCACTGAGTCGAGACAAATTAGACACAAAAAGAATACAGCAATGTTTGTTAATTGTTTTCCAGCTCAATGGGAAATGTTGATCTTTTACCACAAGAAAGGGAAACCGTGTTACAGAATCTTCCACAGGTAGGAGTTTGCTGTCTTTTTGTCATTCTTTGATTCAATAATATGCCATGTCTTTAGAGGTAGCCTTTTCCCAGGTTTTTGTTTTTGGCAAGGAGTGTGGCCGGTGGGGGCTGACTTGTCATGTCAGCCTTGGACAGTCTCAGTCTTGGACAAGTGGTGATCAACCACTTAAGGAAGACTTTCAATCATGAAGTAAGGTCATGCATCTAATGTAAGATTGATACATGACAGGAACCTGCCCCGTCTTGTCCAGTTTAAGGGGAACCATGCATTAAACAGAGCGGATGGTCCTAATAACTAGGTCAAGTCAATATTCAAAGAAACGGCGTGTTGATTATATGCAGGGATGGGAATAATTTTCTCAATCAGCAGGACATCCTCGCAAATCCTTGTTTCACTCGGCACATTCAAAAAGCAGTTAGGCATGCATTGCAGTTGTTTCTGTCATTTTTGTGCAGACAAATGTGTGATTTAATTGGACCACATGCCTCTACAAATTTTCACGTGATATTTTAGTCTGACATTTGTTATATTTGATGAGGTCATGTCTGAAATATGACTGATATTTCCAGCCCTGTTGTATAAGGATTTGGTATGTGTAGGTATTGATGCCTTCAGAAATGACCTACTGGAAAGCGAAAAGGTTTCTCTGTGGTACCATGTTTCTCTTAGATCACAGTACATTCGTGTGTCATTCCACAATCTTTCATCTAATATTTTACCAGAGTGCTCGTCCTGCTGAGGTGGAGTCAGTTCAGTTGGTACTGGGCCAGGTTCATGTGACAGCATATTTCAACCAGGATGAGGATATTGGTGAAGAGGATCAGGTATTAATTCCTTTTTATGGCAGTTACATACATACATACATACTTTATTTGCAAGTCCCCAAAGGGGCTTTTCAGTTACAAAAGGAATAAAAAAGATAAAGATTACGTCAATTAAAATGAATAAACAAAATAAAAGGGGTTACTTGCATGTACATTTTAGAATTAAGATTACCGAGCCAAAACACGATAGAGCTAATCCAGGAGTAGAGTTAATTTTGATAACAGTGCTATAACTTTTAAGTTAGCCTGCGAGCAGGTTCACGTTGGAGCATTAGCGCGCGCGGTGTAGCCTCTTCACCAGACTCCTTCCCGCCAGATCGCTTTGCTCTTAGACGCTCGCGCGTGGGACTCAAAGTTGAGCCTGCTCGCAGGCTACTTTTAAGTGAGGTTTTCTGTCCTTCAGTTTGATGTTGTTTAATATCAAACTCCACAAGATGTTTGCAATAAAAACACTTTTGTACAAGAGAAATTATAACCTTGGACAGCTTTTTAATAATCCTGGATAAGTGTTAGTCGGTTTCCAAGCAACCAGGCCATGATTAACTTATGAGTGGACCATGTGACATTTGAGGGTGGGTAGTTGATTTTGAAAAAAATATCCTGCAGACAAACTTGTACCAAAAACAAAGCAAGTTATACGGAGAAAAAAATACATAGATACCCACGTACGGGTAAAAAATTTCCTAGTGCATGAAATGGTTAACAAAATTCGTGCCTGTACCAAATCATACCCACACCCCCTCAAAAGTAACATGGTCAACCCCTCATAAACTTTATTAACTTGTTTCATTGTGCAGCTGTATGATGATGGAGTAGAAAACACCAAGAAACAGCTTGTGACAGTCTGCCCTGGACTACAGGATGCCCAACCTCAGTTGCTTGAGAATCTGCTGTCTGTGTGGAAAGGTGTCAGGGACAGACTCTTTAAACACTACCATTTTGCTGCCAAAGCATACTTCATGTATCTCAGGATGGGAAATGTGGTAATAAAACCAAACTCGTTCCTTTGACCACAGTTAAGATACAGCCATGAAAAGTGACGAATTGTGTTCAAAGGGCTTTGCATTTACGTTGTAGTAGTATGAATTTGAGAATGTAGAGAACATTTTGCAAGCCCCGAGAAATATGCCAAGAATGATTTACGCAACAAATGGCAGGAACTTATTATTAAGTGATACTAGTGGAAATGGATATTGTTTATTTAACAAATAAAGAAGCCTAAGCCATGTATTACACTGTGATAAAACACGACGGGCATTTGAGAACACGAGGGAAATGTAGAAAACATG